GAGTTTAATTTAGAGAATATTTACTCTGCAGTAAATTTTTTACGGGAAAAATGTTTGCGGCAATTTTTATTTGCGGGAACTAACTTATTTTTGCGGATCGCTGGAAAAACCGCAAAAAACTCAAAAATTAGAACCCGCAAAAATTTCGTGCCACGCGGTAGAATTAACGGAAAAGGAGACGAGGTGTGTGTAATCAATTTTGCTGTGAAAAGAACACAGCAAAGACAGATATTCTAATGTAGCTTTTTTAATCTATGGTTAGTTAAAGTTAATTTATAGTTTTTGAATTTTGACGTTATATCATCAAATTCAAAATACGAATCGTTATATTGTTCAATTTTAAGTTCTTTTGTGAAGGCCTTTTGAGATAACTTTTAAAATGTCATTAGGTATCTCTTTTTAGCTTTTGACGCCAACACCCGAGAAAACGTTTCTTTGTACATTTAAAAACTCAAAAATTTAGAGTAATTTGAGAAGTTGAGGAGCGAGTTTCGTTGGTATGGATACTTAGAGTTTTCGAAAAGAGTTTCGTGTGGTTCAAATCTCGTAACCGACCACCGCATCTTCACGTTTTCGGTGGTCGCTAAGTTCGACTTATTTTTCAAATTTTCAAAACATCGAGATCAATAACACAGTGACTATTCTGCGAAAAAATGTTAATGAATTCTGTGAGAAAAAATAACTTTTGATACTAGACTAAGGCCATTTTCATCATATACTGGGTAGCTTTTGCGCCGGCACGAACCGAATGCAAATATGGCGGACCTCTCGGCCGGCCCGGGTCTAGTTACGCGAAAGCGAGGCTAATGAGGCCTCGAGAGTTATATTTTGACTGCGCGTCTTAGCGATTGAGTCGATCGATATGGTTTGCTTCGAGTTGTAGCGTGTCTGAGTGCCACCAAAAAGGAGATTTTACTCTAGCTGGACCTACCTTTACTTTCTCTAGATCTTTTTCGTGTTGGCAGGAAAGGTTTTCCGGTAGAGCGTGAATATTGCCTAAAGAATAGCCTGCGCCATAGAGTGATCAGCATCAAATTTCTCCTTGTAATATCAATGCTTTGTGAAACAGAGTGGTCATGAGAATTATGGACATGATCACACAAGATGATTTTGCTTGATATTTTATCAACTTCTCCCCACTACGTCTGTTGGAAATGAATAGGGGCAACAAATGAGAATTCAAATTTTCATCTTTGGGTTTAAAGGGTTAACTGGGGTTAGATTACGTCTGCGACGCAGGATGACTGAAGACAAAAGAAGCACAAAATTTAAACATCTCAGAAAAAAAAAAAAAACAATATACATTCTTATGTTACGTGACCCGTTGTTTATCACTTCCTTGTTCGGCACTAAAGCTTTCAATATAAACAGTGCTTTTAGTCCACGTGTTATGAAGGCCAATGTCAAGTCATACCCCGGGGGGTGGGGGTGGCCTGTACGAGGGGGCTCCGCGTGAAAGGAGCACCTTTTTCAGGCTTCAGGTGTATGAAATAGTAGGGAAATTTGTCATTTCGGTAGGTAAAAAGGCTCAAAAGGAGTGACAGATGCATTTCATGACCGTCATAAAGTGGAGAAAACGTTCTGGTTTTGTGATTAATTCATAGTTAAAGACAATACATTTACAGCAGTTAAAAGGGATGCAAAGTTCTAAACAAGGTGTGTGAAAAGGGTACTAACTGTCAACAGAAAGTGTACGAAAGGGGCACCTTTTCTGACAAAAATAGTATATTGAAGGATAATGGGTTGGACCTCGGGGCAGAGCGTCCCCATATGAAACCTTGTTGAGTAGCTTCCCCCCCCAATTCCGGGAGTCAGACACGTCTGATAATTGCTTGTCGGTATCATCTGTTGACATGTCTGAGGGAAATTAAAGAATTGGGACATTGAATTAGTAATCGTGATAGTTGTCTTATTGACGCTATGAGTTTTAAAGCGTGAAGCACTGGCTAAGGTAATCAGATAATCAGGCCAGGACCTTGACGTGCGATTCTCTGATGATTTTCCAGTTCTTTTACTATTAAGTAACCAGAGACCAGAGCTTCTTCATTCTATGTGTGTGCGCGCTAACCTGCCTTGAAAAAAGCGATGAGTTTTTAAAAGGGTAAACCAATATAAAAGATTTTATCATCAGGTTACTCGCTTCCCGTTTCCTCGACCACCTATCCCTTCTGGCCACTGAAATCGGGGTACGAGGTTCTGGAGCAGAGCGGACACTGAAGATGAGGATGACCCTTGTGGCTTTCTGTTGCCACGATTTTCTTTTCTTTCCACCAGAAAGTTCCTGGTAAGAAATGGCGCCAAATGTTAAGGAAGCGCATGCTGTGGAAGGCTTGTACTGTACGTCTATGTTCCAACCCTTCTCTTCCAATTTGTAAAACTTGTTTCTTCCGCGTCCTTTCACCTTACTTTGTCTCAACGTGTTGCCAATGTCATTCACCCCCGGTTCCTTTTTTCACTTTCTAGTACTGCCCTTTGTCGTCCCGATCTTGTTCCCCACCTTTCCATTTTGTTTCCATTACTTTTCTTTGTAGAAATTGCAACTGGTGAAAGGCTGCGCCTTCCTGGGCCCTTCCCACTCCCCCATCTCCTCCCCTTCGCGGTTTTTAAAAAACATTACAGCCTAGTTTGTGAGTTAATTTTAAAAAATGATTTCTTGCTGTGGAATAAGTGGTTATGAAACCCCGGGGGGTACTCGATCAATATTTGGGTATACGTGAGCCGCTGACCAGAATCGCGAATGCCGGGAGGGGCTTCATCTTGTACCCAGATCTCTCACGGCCAGAGGGAGATCTGTGTACGAGGGTCATTCACCTTATAGGTTTGCAATAGGGAACGTGGTGGTTCAGTTACGGCACCTACAAAGTAATTGTTTTGCTTATTAAACCTATTGTATTATGGCAGTTTTAATTCGTCTTGCCGCCGACGCCGTCATCGTTGCTTAAGCTCCTTGAATTATGAACCTGAAACATTGAACCTTCGTTACTTAACGTCGGAAATTAGATGCTCTTGTGTTTGCAGAGGTTTGACGTCTTATATTCACAACTGTATTTTCATCAGCGAGAGCTTGCTCTTTACGTTTTTAAAACTTGTAGCAAGAATTTCTAGGAAAGTGTCCCTTTTTTCATTTGAAAAAGAACATTTCACGTTTATTTATTTATTTGTTTTTTGACTTATGTTTAGTTAGACTCGCGAAAGCGATAATAAAATTGAATAAGAGTGTACGTTTGCGTTTGTTTTATATTCTTTGCATGTACATACAATAAATATTACATGAAATGGTCTTGATAGCCCATATTTTTTCAAGACGACAGACAACCCTATTGAGTAGAATGATACGTTACCCCTGTGTGCTTCACTTTAAATTTACTGTCATGTATAGATTGAATATTTACAGATATCTTTTAGAGGGAGGTATTTACATTGTCATAAATTTGCGCCATAAATCTTCTATTAACGTTGTTTATGCTTTCTCTGTGATCCGCGGAGACAGCTGTCCAAGCTTGAGGGAAATTGAGCGAGGCATGAATAATTTATTCCAAAGTCATATCTGTAATTATTCCTTCACTGACTGTCTTTTTCACCCTGCGGTAACAAAAAAATAAGCAAACAAAGTCAAACTTCTCTGTATTATTTTTATAACATTATTCGTAATAAAAATATCTCGCAGCGGTTTTGTTTTTTGTTGGTTGGTTGGTTGGTTGGCATTTTTTCCACCTTAAAATATTCCGATTACGTTAAAAGTAAAACGTACTGATCTGTACTGCAAACAAAATTGATAAAAGGCAATTTCTTTGTTGAAAACTGGAAAAATACCGAGATTTACTACAAGGTATCACGGAGCTTTCCCGATCAGGAGTTTTCATTAATCGTCGCAGATCCTTATAATTTCAAGGTATTAAACAAAGAAAAATACGGGAAACCCAAAATAAGCTTCCTTTTCTTTCCTGTTTTTATCGGAATCAATTTATTACTTCTTGGATTTTCGTTTGCCGTGCAGGTGTGCCGAGTTAATTACTTGTCTTTTGTCTCGAAACCAGCAGAAAGCTCATTGGTTAATTCGAGGGTGTTAATAGAAAACAAAATAGAAGTTTGGTTCAACAAAACTCCAGGTGTTTAGCGCTTAGTATGCATTTGCTCTCGCAATATATCCTTTCGGTTTGCGATTAAAAAAAACTACTGCATCTTACATTACAGAATCTTTAAAGGATGATCGTACAAAAAAAAAATACATTTGTCTTAATTGTTTCCCAACCTTGAGAATGACGGCAGTCTTTTAAGGTAAAATAAAATGAGTCATAAACGCTATTCTTTGTAGCGAAATTGTCCGGCAAGTTTTAAAGGTCAAACGTGTAAACAATGTAATGATTGAAACGGGCTTTTTTTTCTACCATCGCGAAAGCAGGAATAAAGGCCTTTTCAAAAGCGAGATCTGAAAATGGATATATGGCCAATTTTCTTTTTTCCCCAAAATAGCTAAGAGCTTCTTTGTTTATCGTTGAATTTTTTTGCCGGCGTTTGAGATTGATTATTATGTTGCGATCATTCGATCAAAAAGGAAGCAAAACAAAGCCACTGCGATGGCGCGTAGGCGAACCAACGAAACGGCGTACTTACTTCGCTGGATGAAATTCTAAATTAACTATATTCAAATATAAACTTCAGCTTAGTATTCCTTGAGTTACTGTCATTATACCGTACAGTGTTTCTTATTTTCTGAACCTGTAGCTCAATCCTAGTGTGATCATACATACAAATCAGAATTTCCCAGTGCAGTTTAGTACTGTTTAAGCTTATTATAAGCTTCACAATGTTTCTAAACTTTGAGCCCATGAATCAGACTCTTAATGTAACCATTTGCTTCAAACGAAAACTGCGGAGTAGTATTTTGTCATATTTTAATTTTAAATTTAATCTTTATTTCTTTCTTGTTTTTTTTCATTTCCAATCTACTTCCGTACATTTTAGAGTCATATTTCTTGTTCAGTTTTGCAATAATATACTTACTCTTTCCGTTTTGCTCTGCCCTCGGTTTGAAGTGCTTGAGTACACTGGTCCACGCTCTCGGCGAAATGTTTAAGTGATTTACTCGATGTATCGTTCTCTGCCAAATAAGACAAAGCTGAAATATAGCTTGTAGCCAGTCTCAAGATTGCCAACTTTGATAACTTTTGATCTCTCGAGTAACTGGGTACTGCTCTTCTTAGCCCTTCAAAGGCCTCGCTCATGATGTGGATTCGAGATCGCTCCCGAGCATTAGCGATTAGACGTCGTGATCTGTTCGATTGCCGCCAAGACAATGCCTTTTTCAATTTCGTCCGTGGCCTTTTAGCGCCCGGTCCTTTTTTCTTTTTACCATCCGCCGTGTTTTCCTCATTGGCTAGTTCCATCGTTGGGCATGGTTTTGTTTCTGCGATCATCGAGGGCCTGGTCGATTCGCCTTCGAGATTGTGGACGGCTCTGTTAAATGATCCCATAGGCTGCCCATATACCGATTTTATCAAGCTAGTTTCACACATGGAAATTCCGAAAACACGTTGAAAAAAGGCTTTGTCGCGCCCGGTGCCCTTAATTTGTGGTTTTCTCACCGTAATTGATAACGTTTTCTCTCCGTTCGGAAAAAGTGATGATTTGACCAGGTTTTTTCGGTTAAATTCAGTTTTTTCGCTCGAAGTGGTAGCGATGACAGTCGCTTAAGACACCTGGTTGCCTTTACAGAATGATGTTTTCTTGTTCTGCTAAATATCAGAAAATCTGTCATGTCCATTAGCATTTTTGATGACCACCTGCTCCACCGCACAAAGAGTCCCGAGATTGTTTACCATTTATCGCAGCAAACACTCATTCTCCACCACCCCTCAATCGATTGTTTACCAATGGCGAGCGTGACACTTTGAATGTCAATTTCGGGCAAATTTAAATGGTTTTCTTTGCTCCGCGAAACAGGTGCGCTGACAACGGCGAATTTGTTTGATAATTGTATTTTTACTAGAGGCTAATGGCGCTCTTTAAAACAAAAACATCATAAAATGGATCGAATTTATTAAAATGCCGCGTCGCTCTTAGTTGATATTTGTTTTGAGACTCCCAAGACAGCTGTTTAGAGATCTTCAGCTTCGAATATTTACATGAACCTTTGATTGTTTGCAAGTGAGCTTTGTTGGGTTCGCTCTGCATTGTTTTAAATTCTACATTGTCTCGGCTTTTGCATTTTTGTTAGTTTTCGCAGGTGTTGTGTTTTGTGGTTGTTTTAAGTTCACTTCATCCAAATGCATTTTGCAATTGTCCTCAAAGTGCTTAATTTGCATTGAAGAAAGATCAAAGAACGGAAAGGCTTTCTTTTTCGGTTCCGTCCACCCAAGAGTTATGTATCTTGTTCGTCCAGTTCTTGTCTGAAGCACGTGCCAAAGTGAATAATTCAATATTCGGTTTTATTCAAGCATATTTTAAAGAAAACATTTCATATCATATCGCAACAGAGTGAACGAGTTTTCGCTCATTTCATTAACATAATTTTAGATCACATTCGTTTTCTTTTCCTTTGAAGCTAGAAGATGGGCTATTTAAACTTGACTACTGAAGCTCGTGGCACGCGTACCGAATTAAATCATGCAATTAACTGTAAACTATAAGTTTAAATTGAATCAAATATCACGCAACGCTAAAGCTTTAATGCGATCGTTGAAGTAACGAGATAAAAGAGGCAGAATTTTCGGTCGCCTGGAAAACATCTCAAACTTGGCAAATTGAAATGATTTATTCAAATACCTTTGTTTGTGTCAAGAAACGCATTTATCTTATAGCTGCTTTTTGGAGCGTAGTTCTAACGGTTTGATACTGTAATCTTTTAAAATATATTAACTCTAAATATTTATCATTTAAATTGAAACTAGATGCGTCACAGTTTTTTGTTTTGTTTTGTTTGTGTAATGTGCCGTTCGCTTTTTTTTAACATTTTACCTTTGGCCTACGTTCGTAATTCGATTGGAAACGTTAAACGGTGTTTCTGCCGTTAGTTTCCCTCAGTAAAGGGTAGATGCCTTTATTTTTTCAAGCGATTTTGAAAGTCTTAACCAATGAAAAAAAAAATCATCACCGTAAATCGAACCCGGACCCCTTCTGCATTGCCAAGGATAAAAGACTTGTACTGCTGGTGCGCTTTCTTTCTGTGCGAGATGTTCCGAGTTGTCAGTTCGATCCCAGGTGCGACCCAAAATGCTTGTTTGGACTTTTTTATTTCCATATACCTAGCTTTAGTATCTTTAAATACCGGTAAAACGGACCTCTGATGTAGAGATTATGTTATAAAATGAGCGCACAGTCGGCCTAAGGTTTTTAAATGAGATGAAAACTATTTCGTCTGTTTCGTGAGCTGCTAGCCAGAAAGTATATCCCGCGCATAATAATCCCGCCGATACTTTACACCTTTGCGACTCTGATCCGTCACAAATGTGTAAAAGATAAGTATCATGATGTTCATAAATGGCTGCGGCCGCGCTTGACTTAACCGAGTTATTCCCAATTAAATAATTAAAGTTAACTCGTTTAAAAAATTTAAACTGCGAGTGCGGCGAGTGCGGCTTTTCTACAGTCTTAACCGAGCTCTAACCGGTTTATGCAAATCAAGCAAGAACAATAGATTTTCTTAACCTGGTTAGGTTTTTTTTAAACGATCTCACGAGGTAGTGTAACGCAGGTTAACTTTCTCAATTTGGCCGATTTTTTACTACAGGACGCATTATCCGTCGAGACGGATAATGCGTCTACGGCCGTTTTTATACTAAGGACGCATTATCCGTCTGGACGAACTTGGGCAAACATTTGTAGTTCGTCAGGTTATGCGTTTCAAGTATAAAGACGGGCACAAGACGCCTTATGCGTTTGGACGAACTTTCCTTCAAAATTTGTCTTGAACGACGCACTACGAAAGCTGGTTCGTCTGAACGCATAAATGCGTCTTATGCCTGTCTTTATACTGGAGCTTGGTAACTACTGATATCGTGTTTCGAACATGGCCTTTCATAGATAAACTGCTATCGGCAGAGAAAACTCAAATGCGCCTTCAATAGACCTCTTTAGCTTTTTTTGTTATCCCAATGAAGGTGCTACGCCGTGATACACGGCAGTTGTACGACTTGGTTAAAAACATCGTACTTCTTCGTGCTAAAGTCGATCCATTGAGTTCGGAATAGTCTGCGAGCTTGGTGGAGTCGCGAGAATTTACACAAGAGCCGCACGCGAAAGGAGACGCTTGCAGGCTAAGTTCTGTACGGCAGAAGCACGATGTTTGAAACAGGGCTCAGGGGAATTTGCTTCATTTTCTTTTCACAAATTTTGCGTATATGTGCAGGTGAATAAGACCAAATTTGAAAAAAAAAACAGTTCCCTAGAGTATTATCACATGACCGAAATTGGGAAAACAAAACATAAAAGCTAGAGAGGTCTATTCTAAGCGTACACAAGGGAATATGAGTATAGCTGATCAGGAGCCTGGGCTAATTCGTCGCCAATGGCTTCTTATCAGTTAGACTCCAGGATTTAGTCGCGGCTGTTGAGCTGGTCGCGGGGGACTCGTACCTCAGCCAAATTAGGAGCTTCATTGGAATCATGTCCTCCAGGAGCCCATAACCCGGAGTAAGCAATGGCCATGTGCCCGTGTAACGGTGTTTTCACTGACCAGTTTATTTTTAGAACGATTTTGGCGCGAATTAAGAATATCTTTCAGGTCCCACCAACCAGTCACCAAAACTAAAACCCCTAAAAATGGCATTTTTTAACCTATTATTGACGTTTGGTTTTCCTTTATCACTTCTTATATTTATAATTCGCTCATGAACGGAACGGAGCTTCCATTTTCGCGATAGAGAGTACTGTAAAATGCATCTAAAAATAAACCGATTCGTAAAACTCCGTGACATAGGCCTAGTCTGAAAGTTGCACGCTCCAGTTGATGGGTTCATGTGTCCTCCCCGTTTGTGATCTTTATATGTCTTTCGTGGCAGGGATGGCGTTCTTTTCCCTAAAACAAAGCCTGATCACAGTTTACACGCCCTCCAGCCTTGGTGTTATAACAATGTATGACGTTAAACTGAAGGTTATAAATTCGCCACTTAGGAAGCGAAAAGGAAACTGGAGTAAACCTTCGCAAAGATTCCTGGGCCTGTTGCTAGGGTCAGGGAAAGAATAGCTTATAGCTGATAGGCCGTTCCCTAGTAACCATCCCAGAAACAATTGCGGGACGCATATCGGTTCCAGTTCCTTTCTCTTTTCTCAAGTGAGAAATGGATCAGAAATGGATACAAAAGAGTGGATACCAGTCTCCTGCAGGCCCTATACCGGAAAAAAGCTAAAGATGCCTCTTTTCCAAACGAGGATGAGTGCAAAAAATACGTGTTATTCTCACGGTCAGTAAAACTCAATTTCTACATGTACGGTTTTGCATTGACCTCGTTTTGAAAGTGAGAATTTTTGGAAATGGCCTCCTCTCCTGTTTACATCTGAAATATGCGTGGATGAGATTCATGCGCTTCATGATGGACGTCACGGAGTGTCCCCTACGTCTGATGCTCGCCTAAACGCAGGCAAGCATGAATTCATTTAGAAATTACTAGGGTCCAAAGTCCAAGTAAGGTGCATTTCTGGACCAATTAAATTAGATAAGTAGAGGTTTTTGCTATAACAACAGAAATCACAACTAGCTTTTCTGTTTTTAAAAAAGTCGTCAGTTTTTTCATCTCTTAACATTGTCTTGTGTGTGATGCTCGTAAGGTAGATCAGCTCTGATTAGGGTATAGAGGCGGTTTTCAATCACCTTTGCGTTGTATTGAAGAGAATTAAGTCCATCAGAATCCATCTGATTGAAAGCATCACGTACTCTCCTCAGCCTGATAGAAAACAGAGAAAAAAACTCTGCTATGGTGAAAAATCTGACAGGTTTTCATCAGGTTTTCATTTTTTTCTGGGTGTTGTGTAGTGTATCATGCTACGCGGTTGTTGTGACTCTAAAAATTAAGTCAACCAAAAAATGAGAGGCAGCTAGAAAAAAAAAATAAGGAAACTGGGCCGAGTTATCTTTTGCGCAAAGACGCTGGGACTTTTTCTAGGTGAAGGGGAAAAATTGGCCAATAGCTGACCAGCGCGTCCCCTGTAACAATCCCAGAACCAATTGCGGGACGCATGCCTGTTCCAGACGTTCAGATCGTGAGAAGCGCAAAGAGAAAAAACGAGGGGAAGGAAGGGGGGGGGGGGGGTAGGGAGAGGGAGAGAGAGAACCTTTCCTTTCTCCCAGTCCCTCTCTTACGTTTTTTTCTCTCCTTTCCATTTCGCGCCATAAATACTTGAACGTCTAAAACAAGCCACGGAACGCCACCCGTGAGCGGACTGTTGTAGAAATTACCGTAAATTTACTGGAGGCTTCTCTTCCACTGTGTGATGTTCTTTTATCATTTTGTATCTTCCTATTTCTACGGCCGGACGCGTTAACTTCAGTCCTTTCCTGGTTACCCTAATCAAAACAACAACAATAAGTTTACTGTCAGGGACGTGGCTAAAACCGCCCTACGTAGACAGGCAGGACCTACCG